CAGCTTGTGAGTCAGCTCCTGGATAACAGGAGCTGTACTTGGCTCTGCTGGAAAGGCAAAAATTCTGTTAACTGTTGTTTCTTATCCCTAGTAGTTACATTTTGAAGTATGTTCTCACTTCTGGGTGTTCCGATCTGTTGGCCACTGTTGCTCACAGCCTTCTCCTGTGATCGCCCAACATCAGCTTTTTTTGCAGTGTCCTTTTTTGTTTCTGTTTCTAGTAGAGTTGTCTTGGTTTTTAGTTTTACATGTCTTTTTCATTTATCTGTGTCTTAGTTTTTTTCATGTCCTTCTTTCTAATTTGTTTTAGCATAGTTCTTTTTCTAGTTCCTTGTCATGGTTTCTAAATTCCCTAGTGATGCAGTGATTAAGAGTGAGGTTTTAGGTCACTGGTATAGGAAATGCCTGTGAATTCTAGGACTTGAGGTAGCCTGGGCTACATACTTATCTAGGGCTTGTCTCAGAGGTACCTTTCATAGATTTACTGAGAGAACAAGATGCTAACTTTCTACTGATATATAAATTTTCTGCTTCCTTTCTGCTGTTGGTTTTTGTTTCATTGTATTAAAGTCAGATAGATGCTTTTATATTATTAAATTCTTGACACTTGTTTGGTAGTTTATGTGTATCTGAACATGTGATTACTTTTCAGAAATATGTTGTTTTCTAAAATATATTTGTCTGTTTAGCATGTGTTTTCTTTTCACAGAGATGTTGTTATGGCACTTAGGTTATCATTACTGAACCGATCTTGTCACACACTACTAACTAAAGACCTTTCTTCCCTATTATTTGTTTTCTGTTCAGTGTAGCACTTAACATTTGGTGCTCATTTTTCTGTAGATTCCTCATGACGTCTTTAATGACTTTTAACACTTTGAGATGTATTGGTTAGCTATGTTAGAAGATCTCTGTTGGAATTTGTTTTTCTCATGATTAGAATATAGTTTGCGGTGGTAGGAAGACATATTTGAGACAGTTTCGAGCCCTCTCCCAAACCCTGCTGAAGTAAAGTAGCGGTGCTGCCACTGTTGCTTTTCCCTTTCCTGTATCCCCTCCTGCTGCTCCTGGAGAAACATTCCTCTTCTATTTCCAGTTGGGTATGACCTTGAAAGTGCTGCTTTCAAAACAACAGGAAAAGTTGAAGGTAACTGGTGCTGGTTTTGGTAAGGGTGCAGACTTTGTGGACTTCAGTGGGATGTAATTTAGTAGAGCCTTTATGGAGAGCAGGAGCAAGAACAGATTTATCACTGCAGTCCAGCAGTCCCACTTCTGCCTGTATTTCCACAGGAATTGAAAGTTGTATGCACAGAGCTGTCTGTACTCCCAAGCAGCTGTAGTAGTAATTATGATAGTTAGATATATGGATGAAAGCCAGTCGTTCATCATCACCACATGGATGAGTAAGGAAGGGTGGACTGCTATTCAGCCTTCAGCTGAGACAAAGTGGATGAACATGGAGGAACTCATGCCAAGGAAAAGGAGCCAATGAAAGACGATGGCAGCACATGACCTCACATGTGTGAGGAGCTGCAGGAAGTTGAACTTGGAGTAGAATAAGAGTTTGCTTTAGGCTGGATGCAGATATGTTGGGAGAAAGCATTGAATATTGGTCAAAGAACACAACATTTTGTTAGAATAAGAGATATAATGTATTACACAGACTGGTAACTGATAATGCCTTGTATATTTCAGAGTTCCTAAAAGTAGAGGGAAGTGTTTCACCACTAAACCTTAAGTTATCTGACAGTGTAAACCCAGGTCAAAACAGACATTTACCCCTTCAGTAATGTGTGTGTGTGTTTTTGTTTATTTGGTTTTTGATTTTTGGAAACAGTTTTTCTATGTAGCCTTGGCAGTCCTAGAATTTGCTCTATAAACCAGGCTGGCCTAAAACTCTCCCATATGCTGAGGTCAAAGGTGTGTACTACCACACCTTTATATAACAAATATATAGTAACAATTATTATTTGTTAAATAAAAATAAGTTTTAAAACATAAATGTTTCTAAAATGTACTGATGTGATTTTGGGTAAACATACATTTGAAAAGTTTTTTCTTCCTTCCTGATTTTGAACAGAACAATGAAAGAACGGCAGGAGTTACTTCATTTGTACTGTGGTTTTGTTTTCTCTTGTGGTATATGTAGTTAGCAAAATTTAATATTTTAGTAATTTTTACTGTATAGGTTCGGCAGATTTACAGTCTTGTATAACCATGTGTCCTTTTATGTGTATTAGTCTCCTTGGCCTGCTGTGATAGAATGCCTCACCGTGATGGAGGCTAAGTTGATGCTGAGTGTACAGGTTTCTCTGCTGAGGCGTTTGCAGGGAGCCTTTCCTTGTGTGCATAGCTGGTATTTGTTCTCTGCAGACACTCCCAGTACTAGATTCTGGATTCATTCTTGGGGCCTGGCTCATTATTTGCCCCCTGAAGTGCTCTTCCTCCACGCGTAGTCAGGGGTTGGGGCTTCCATGTAGGACATTTGAAGGAACAAATAGATGGCCAGTTGTGGAGGCTAGGAGTCAGGCGTTGCAGCTTTTCAGGAGGCTGGGGCAAGATGGTAAGTTCAAGGCCTGGCTGAGCTACAAAGTGGAAAAGCCTGGGGTGGGGGTGGGGAGAATCAACAAAGTAAACTCAAACCAGCTGGGGTTGTAGCTCAGAGCATTTGCTGTATATGTGAGGTTGTAGGTTCTGTGCCGAGAGAGGGAGGGAGGGGGGAGGGGGGGTAGAAAGGTGTTGGGTTGTGTGTTCATAGCCTAGTGATGCAGAGCGAAGAGGGCTGAAGTCTTACCCATCTCTTGCTTCTTCATGAGGCTGCTGGTGGTGGCCCTGCTTGTGGCCATACTCTCCAATCATCAAGGCCATATATTCTCCTTGTCCGTGTGTTCTGTTTTCTTCCTGCCTCCTCACGTTATCAACCTCCCTCTCCATAACCAAACGCACTGATTACACAGTACACGGCACTGCATAGAAATCATTCCTGTGAGTTTGTGCATCTGGGTCTGGAAATGTGTTGCAGTCTCTGCTTCCCATCTTCAAATCAACATTCTCAGGTCCCACTTACTGTGGGATAGCACAAGGCAGGTGGGAACACCTTAACTGTGTGTGTTGTCAGGCCCAAGGGCTCCTTCCATCCTTGTCAGGGTCTGCTAACTTCTTCGTGTAGCATTCCAAACCGCTCATCAGTCTTAGCTGCAAAGACTGGTTTTCCTATGGGAGACAGCATGCAGAAGTTCAGGACATGAGGGTAGTGTCTTTTATGGAGACATGCTTTAGCCTATCAGTATATTTAGCCTTTAGTTTTATTTGTGACAGGTCACGGTGTGTAGTTCTAGGCAAATAAGAGTAGCTCTGGCACTGGGGAGGAGAATATTCTCATCCAGACAGCACAGGGAAATGGAGGTCTGTGGTTTCTCAGTGTAGTCCCCGGAATAGCATCATATCAGGAAATGCACCACTTCTCAGAAAGGCAAACCTGCAGGTCTCATTACAGACTCTACAGAAATAGACAGGACAGTGGCAGAGGAGGCTGTACGAGAAACCCCCAGGTGGTCTTTATCTTTTCTAAAGTACTGGTATCATCTGTGCCCAAACTATATTTCTTGGTCTCTTCAGGCTTTCCTGGTAAATACTAACATGAATTTGGGATTTCTGGTTCACAAACTTTCTGTAGAGATAGAATAACTAATTCCTGGCCCTAACGAATAGACTGATTCAATAGAAGATACCTCTGGGCTGTTTATTATCAGGTGTCATTGTAAGTAAATGTGGTTATTTCTTAGTGTTGGTGTATCCAGAAATAGAAGTGAACTTTCCCTTATTTCTTGAAACTGTGAACTAAATTTATTATCCTGAGTTTTACTTGATTATTTTAAATCAAATACATGTTGGAATTAGAAAATTTGAATCTCTTATTCATTCTGCATTGCTTTGGTGCCATTAAAACTGTGCCATTTGGACATGATGGTACACACCTTTGATCTTAGCCCTTGGGAAGCAAGGAGTAGGTGGATCTCCTGAGTTTGAGGCCAGCCTGGTCTACAGAGTTGAGTTACTTAGAAGTATGTTTTATTCATGAACACTCAACTCTCCTCATACCTGGGCTCTACATCCATGGATTTAACAAATCCCATATTAAAAATATTTGCGGGGGGGGGGGGTTGGGTTTATACTAAGTACATACAGACTTGTCTTTCTTACTGTCAGTCTCTAAATGCAACATCATGTCTATAGCATTCACATGGTATTCATTTTTAGAAGTACTGAAGCAACGGTGTAAAGATACATGAAAGAGTATAGATAGGTTGCACGCAAACCTGTGCCATTATATATAAGAGATCTGACCATCTGCAGACTTTAATATCCATGTAGGATCAGAACTAATTGCCCATAGTTTGAGGACCAGTATTACCATTGCTATTTTATTATTAATAATATTATTAATAGTATTATTAAATATACAATTGATATATTATTTAATATATTTAACAATATAGTTAATAAATAATATATTTAATAATATAGTAAATATGCTATAGATATTAATAGCATTAAAATTAGTGAGAGTAACTGATATAAACATTTTTAAGAACTGCAAGTTATGTTTCTTTTAAAAATATTTTATGTGTACAAGTGAGTGGGCATCAGAGGTCCTGGTGTTACAGATAGTTGTTGCTGCCCTGTGGATGCTGGGACCTGAACCTTGGTCCTCTGCAAGAGCAGCAGGTGCCAGGAATTACTGAGCCACTTCTCCTGTCCTTTAAACAAAAAAAATTTTTTGCTGGGATTGATTATTGCTCCTCTTGAAAAGGAACTTAACAATTCATTGAACATTAAATTAGTCATGTTAATTGTTGAACATTTTTAGATATTTTGTGAAAAAGAAAGTCTTAATTTTAAATTTAAAATAGTGTATTATAGGTACAGTTTTTTTTTTTCCTACCTGAAATGAAGCAAGAAAAACTTAAGCAATTGTTTTTTCACATGTATTGTTTCAGGCTTGATTTAATTTTGGATGAGATTATTCTTGCATCGAGATGTTACTAAGCCAAAATTTAGGTAAGTAGAATACTTTATTAAATGTTACATATTAAAGTTGGATTAATAAAAAAAAGAGTTTATAACTTTAAAATGTACCTACAAGTCTAGAATTAAAGAATTTCAATATACTTTTGCAATATGCTTTTAACTCTTTGGCCACCTTGGTTCAGTTGATTAACAGGAGTAAACAGGCACAGAGCGCTAAGCAGTCTTAGTACTGAGGTCTCCTGACGCTTACAGGGCCCTAGCATTGTAGCATGTCAGAAAATGTGGTTGGTGTTGCTTTTGCCACTGCTGGTGATCTCCCACTAGGTAGTACAAGATGTGTTGACTGTTTTTTTTTTTTCCTGTAGTGGAGAGAATATAGTACCCTTCTGTTGATTTTACTTTATTTCCTTAACAAAACAAACATTTAAGCCATGATTTCTTTCTCTTACTCTAATGTGAGAACTGGCATGTTTAGTCATATGTGTATATGAGTTTGGAGGCCAGAGGTTACTCTGTATTTTATTTAGGGAAGAAAGACTCTCTCTGAAGCTTGTCTAGACAGCCAGCTCACCAAAGGGACAGCTGTCTCTGCCTTCTGAGCACTGGAATTATAGGCGGGCCACCATGCCGGCTGTCTGGGAGCTGGGATCTGAGCCTGGGTCTTCACATTTGCACAGCAAGCGCTTAGTCTAATGCCCTTCTCCCCGGCTCTGTCGTGGTTTTTCTCATGTAACTCTCTGCTTGTCTTCTAAGGATTGTTGACTTTTAAAAAGGTAATTTTGCTGATATTTTGTGTCTGATATATGAAGAATGATTTTTAGAAATGTACAGCTTTTGAAATGATAAAACTCCATCAGTCAGTAAACATGGCCTTAGAATAGAGACTAAAAAAGAACCACAGATGGTGAAGCTGCCGAGTGTCTTGAAGTAGAGAAGAGGCTTACACTGTATTTAAGGTCTTGTGGGTGTCTCAGGAGCTTATTAAATATGCAGTACCTATAAGAACCTTCCTCTGGTTACACATCTATAGGGGCACATATCTGCCTTACTTGGGATTCTGCAACATTGGATATGGACTTTTTTTTTGGTCATGTTATAATTGACTTTTAGCAATGTGTGAACAGAATTGAATGATTATATTGTAATTTTCATTGACCCACTCATGTATATATAGAAAATTTCATTATCTCAAAGTTCCTTAACTCTTTTCAGTCTAAATCTAATAGCCATGTTACATTTCTTTAGCCTGGTTTAGTTTTAGCTGGTTTTTTGGAAGATTTATTATTTCTATGTAAGTAGTGATATTTAGACACACCAGAAGAGGGCATTGGATCTTTTTATAGATGTGAGCCACCATGTGGTTGCTGGGAATTGAACTCAGGACCTCTGGAAGAGCAGTCAGTGCTCTTAATTGCTGAGCCATCTCTCCAGCCCAGTTTTAGCTGTTTTTGAACTTTATGTACATAGAATTATATAGCTTCTGCCTTTTAAAATTTGTTTGTTTGTTTGTTTGTTTGTTTTGAGACAGGGTTTCTCTGTGTAGCCCTGGCTGTCCTGGAACTCATCTGTAGACCAGGCTAGCCTCGAGCTCTCGAACTCAGAAATCCACCTGCCTCTGCCTCCCAAGTGCTGGGATTAAAGGCATGCGCCACCACCGCCTGGCGTTAAAATTTTTTTTGATATTTTTGTTTCATTCATGTTGTTAGAATACCATTATTTATCTTGTGTGCTCTGTAAACCTTTGTTCTCAGTTCCAATTCTTATCCCTTCTACCCCCTCCTAGGCTTGTTCCGTTTTACCCATCAATAGCAGAAGAAAATGTAAGCTGTCTGTGTTGTGGCAGGCAATTACTTATCTGTGCCCACATGCCTAGGTTAGATAGAGGCACTTCTGGCCGGGATCCTTTCCAGTAGTGACAGCTTTTCCTCTGCAGTGGTCATTCTTGTGTTGTCTCATAAACCTGGAGCCAGGCCTTGCCTCATGCAGTAGGGTTGTTGTCTGAGTTGTTGTTTCTGTTGCTGTGAAGTGACACCATGATCAAGGCAACATATGAAAGTAAGGATTTAATTTGGAGCACACAATTCCAGAAGGTGAGTCTGTCACCATCATGGCGGGGAGCATGGCAGGAGGCAGGCAGGCGTGTTGTAGGAGCAGTGACTGAGAGCTTACATGTTGAGACATTGAGACAGAGAGAGAGTGGGGAGGGGGAGAGGGAGAGAGGAAGAGAGAGAAAGAGAGAGAGAGAGAGAAAGAGAGAATGCGCTCAGAATGGGGTGGGCTTTTTAAAACCTCAAAGCCCACCCACCTCCAACAAGGCCACAACCAATCCTTCTCAAACAGTTCCACCAACTGTGGGCCAGCATGCAAACCTATGCGCCTGTGGCAGTCATTCTCATTCAGACCACACAGTGGTCCTCTGCCTGACTGTGGTCCAGGTTAAGGTAGACACCAACCATGTCTCACTCATCTTATGTGCCCAGCGAGTGTTTGTTCAGCTTGGGTCAGTAACCATTCTTTCTCAGACAGGATTTCAGAATTGTGTTAGAGTGGGCCTGGGCGCAGTTCAGCTGTTGCTCGGCCGTAGGAGGCAGCATAGAGACACTTTGAAGTGAGGATGTGTCTTCAGTCTTTTGATGCAGTTGACATCAATAATCTTACTTTTAGACTTTAAGCTAAATTAAATACCACTGATTTTGATTATAATTTCCATGCTAAGGTTTTCATCTGTTTTGTAAAAATTGAAGTATTATTTTCTAGTAGAGTATTCACCTCAGGTTGTTTTACTAGTTATTTCTTTAAGTTGAAAATTTAAAAAAAATGTGTTACTATTGTAAGTAAAGAGAGTTACTTTAACTCTCTAACTCACATAAGTTAGAGGTGAAGAGAGCTCCCTCATTGTCTCCGAAGGTGGAAATGAATAAAGACCAAAGTGCCATGGTCTAGAATTGTGGATGCTTTTATTTTACCATTATAAACATGTTACATATATAAATATATATACATGATTTGTTAATGAATGACTTATTTAAAAAGTTAAAGTATTTTGACAGTGTTTTTTCTTAATATTTGAAACTTGGCTGGTTGGGTTGGCTATCACAGTCAGTCGCCTGGGGTTTTTATGCCTGAAACTAGACTGCCTTGTGGCAAGTCCAAAGCAAGAAGAGGTTCTTCCTCACTGGGATCAATTTGTGTCTTTTCTTCATTGCAGCTTTGGCAATAAAGGCTGAATACAGACCCCTTCTACTGCTGTTCTGTCTTCTAGAAGTATTTTTGTTGTTATTGTTGAATATATCGCCTTGATTAACTTGTGTTTCTTTCTGTGTTTATAAAGTGTGTGGTCTTGTTACATTGTTTGATTTGCATATCTCTTAACTCCTTGATTTGCATGTCTAGACAGTTGAGACTTGATTTCCTCTTCAGAGGTCTTTAGATGTACCTCAATTTCATATTTTTCCTGTTTGAATACAGCCCTGGATAAAAGAACTGTTTTTATTGGTTGGATGGAAAAGTATGGGCAGAGGGAGGCTTGCACTAAAATTTTAATGTCTGAAGTTATTTTATAAAGAGTTCATTTAATTGGACATTCATGTTGCCAAGTTTATTGGCATTTTATTTCTTCATAGTTTTGAGATAAGGTCTCACTGTGTAGCCTAGGATGGTCTCAGACTTGCTGCTGTCTTCCTGCCTCAGTTGCCTGAGTGCTTGAGATTGCAGGCATACTCTACCATGTCTGGCTTAGTAACAGATTCTTAGATGTTGTGTTTATATTGTACTAAGCATAGACATTATTTGAATTGTTAATTTTTTTCAAATTGTTTAAACAAGTCTGAGTCTGACAAAAAATAATGTGGTGAATGTTTTCATATTGATACATAATTATTTCAGTTTTATAGTTAATGTCATTGTTAGGAACCAGATGTTCAAGCCTGCCTTCAGCAGCTCAGTTCCAGCAGCCATGTCATATCCAGCTGCCAAATGTGACACATGTTCACTGTACTCATGAGTCACATAGTCTTTATAAAACCTCCAATCGTCACACATACCCTGTCTGTCTGTTTGTCGCCCTCCCTCTCCCTCTCTTGTCCCTGCTCAGAGTCAGCCTTTTACCCTACCCCTGCCCCCTAGTAAGTCTCTTGTGTGAGGTCTGCATGATGTGATCTTTGCAGCATTCCTTGGCTCCCACCCCCAGGGTACTCTTCCTAACTGTCATGAGGTACTGAAGTAGTAATGACTAGCTTAAGGCCAGGTGGATAATTGCAAAGCTAGAACCTAGGTCTTTTGACTTCTTCCATACTATTCTTTTGAGAAAACCAGTAAAGCTTCTAGCTAGTCTGAGGATTGTGGAGTCTCTCTATCACATGACTATTGATCTGTAAAAATGTTTTTACATACCATTTGATTCATTTAATTATATCTGAATTTGTTATTGTAGTTTAGTTGTTTTTAGTCCATCCTTGATAATAGTTCTTAAACTTAGGGAGAAAGATGATTGGATATGTGCTACAGTCTTGAATTCCTGAAAGCCAAGGGCAATGGGCTTTACAAAACACTTTAATCTATATCCAAGCATTTAATATAGATTAAATACAGCAGTTTCTTGCTGCTATTGCTGCTGCTACTCATAGTAGATGTTTGTTTGTTTGTTTGTTTGAGATGGTCTTTCTCCAAAATCCAGGCTGGCCTAGAACTTCACTTTATATCCCAGGCTGACCTAAAATGTAAGATCATCCTGTCTTAGCCTCGGAATTGCTGAAATTATTTAAATTCTGCTCAGACTAAGTAACCTCCCAGAGAAGTGACAAATTGTAATGTAGAAAAACTGTTCATAATTTATCTAGATAAATTGAGGACCTGTGGCAGAAGAGTCAGCCTAAGAAGTGAGGTAAGAAAAGGGAGACTTGGTGGGACCCAGAGACCCACATTGATTTCAGTGTAGAGCTCATCATGAGGTAAGGAGGGGTAGTGCTTGGTGCCAGGGGATAGAGAATAAGACTGGGTGGGGCCTTTTTTTTTTTTTTTTTTTTTTTTTT